AAAAACTTTCTAACTTAGTGAAATTTTGCCCTAGTATAGGCAGGATTTTGACCTATCTTCATGGCAATTTTTCACATAGTTCCAATTGGAATATCAAAATTAATTTCAAATATGGATTATATAGCATGTTACAAGCTTTCCAAAATGTCCAAGTACTCTCCAAGATCATTTGTGGTTAGGGAGAATCGAAAGTTTGAAATTGGCAAATTATCACTTTTGGCCAAGGCATTTTGCACATTGATACAAGTTGAAAATCTGTCCAAACCTTGCTTGTACTTGGTTTACAGGTTCTAATCCTTTATACACTCATAAATTAAATGCAAATACATTGGATTAAGGCTTTGTTCTGAGCTCTAGAACATTACACATTGAATTAATCCATTTTTGGCAAAAAGTTAACAATGCCATTTACATAAAGCATGCTTTTGGCAATTTTGTTTGTCTTGAGCCATGGACCTGATTTCTTAATGCAAACAAAGTCCACAAACTTGGGGCAAAGTACACCAACTATGTGCAGCTAAGAAGCAGGCTTGTACAGGCCTTTGCATTGTCAACTTCACCTTTTACTTCAAAAACAAGCAATTGTGCAAAAGGTCCACAACTTGGTAATCTGATAAGAGCAAGCTTTGTACACATTTCAAACAAGTTGAGCATAATATACCAAGTCCAAAACACGAGTTACAAGCCTCTCAAACACCCTTAAGCACAAAATCACAAGTTCTTGCAAAAACAGCACAAGTTCTGCAAATCACAAGCCAAAACCATTTCCACTCGTGCGTTTTGTCCCAAATCACTTCAAACACATTCTAAACAATACACCTAAGCTGTCCAGACCATTCTCAAGCCATTGTAACTCCATTTTCACACTTCACCATTTTTACTTTGAAGCTTTGCAGGTCGAGTTCTATAAAGAGATTCAGGCCACTTCAAAGCAAGCCAAGCATTGGGGAAGGTTGAGTGAACTTCAGACAAGCTAACACGACCTTCAGGCCTCATCCAAAACACCTACATTGCCATATCCAAGCTTGGCTGAAACAGGTAAATTTCAAACTTCTATCTCCTTATTTAGGAATCTTTAGGCTTAGGTTTGCGAAGCAAAAATGTAGTCCTCATTGTTCTTGAGCTGTACATATGCATAAAATTCATTTATGTTAACTGAGCTAGGAGTATTTGATAGTTGAACTTACTGAAAAAATTAGGTTATAAATTAGGGGCACTGAAATTCTCCCTGGTTTCTTAGAGTTAGATTAAGTTTTTTACATGGTTGAAATCGTGGTTTCAAGCTCTATAATTTTCATGTTATGAGTTTTTTATTTCATGCAAGAACAAGAGAGAACAGGTTGAAGGTACAGAGCGCGCGCATTTTTGTTCAAAGGTCAGGGATGAAGCTGGAACGTGGGCTGGGCTTGTTTGTTCTGACTATTTGCACCCCCTTGCTTGCTTTCTGCACCCCTTGGCCCATTTGATTTATTTTTGCATACTTTTCATTTCTATTTTTATTTTCTGACTTTATTATTTTTTTTCTTGAACATTTAAAATCACAAAAATTATTTTCTTTATTTTTGGTATTTTATCATATTTTTATTTTATTTTTATTTGCATAATAAATAATTATTAGGTTAATATTACTTCATTTTCTTAAATAAATTTGTAAATAATACAAAAATATCATATATTTTTATTTTTATTATTTATACACTTAAATAATATTTTCTCACACTTTTTTTTTACATTTGTATATATTTTTTTTATTATTTCTTTGTACATAAATAAAATAAAATAATAATAGAAATGCATTTTCTTTTTAAAACCAAAAATTAGGGTTTTCACCCTTTCCAAAAATAATCATTAATATTTTTCTTAGTTTTAGACATTAAATAATTTATTTTACATACATAAAATAAATACAAAAAATCATTTTTTGCATATTTATATTTAATTGCATATTTAAATATTTTGCTTATTTATTTATTTGTACAAATAAATTCAATATGGTTGTAATAGTTTTAGGGTTTATTTTTGAGCAATACCCCCTATTCAAACTTGTACCCTCCTCCCCATAATATTGTTGTAATAGTCTTAGATTTACTTTTACGCATTTTATCGCTTTCAAATGCCATGATAGTAAATTAGGGTTTGTATGCAAAGACCAAAATCAAACAAATAGCAAGACTTAACACAAGACAAAAATGCATGAAAATTGACAACACAATACACACAAGCACCCCTAGGGGTTCATCCACTTGTTGCCTTAAAAAACATGGCCATGGTATGCATGCTAGGTATCTTGGCAAAATAAAACAAAACAAAAGATCATAGTCCCTCGATGACGCTATCTTGGTTGCCTATACAAAAATGATCTAGACCCTCAAAAAAATTGCTAAGATACTTAGCACCATTGTCATCATGGTCATACGATGACCCACGCATGTCCCGTTTAACATCCAAACACAAGGTTGTCTACCAAATACAATGGTAAAACAACAATGTCAAAGGGTTAAAAATGTGTAGGAAAGATCTTTGAGTAGGGTAGACAACTCCTAGTTACTTGATCAAACTTGCAAACCATCCTTGCTAATTTCAAAAACACCCAACACAATTTCAAAACATTTTCCCAAAACAAACTTTCAAACATTGAAACATTTTTCAAAAGACAAACACCTTTGTATACATTCAAACAAGAACCATTACAAAGGTTGCCTAGACAAAGGCCTCTTTTCAAAATACTTTCAAAACCACACACAAAGCACCATTTCAAACAATTGAAAAGCAAAAGCAAGTGATCTAAAACAAGTAACTAAGAGCCCATGGAAAACCATGGATGAAAAGGGTGCTAATACCTTCCCTTTTCATAATCTACCCCCCGAACCCAAAAACAATCTCTAAGGTCTTTCCTGTGCTTTTTGACCTTTCCTTTGGATAAAATAAAAAGTCTGTGGCGACTCTTGCTAAACCGAAACATTTGCGAACACAAACGCAAAACCTCAAGTCAGTTCTCCCACCGCATCACACTAACCATACCATGAACCCAAATTAATCTTCATCTCTTAAAGGAATCATATCTTCAATCCTTTAATCCACAAGTAACATGCCTTACAAGCAACAACAACCAATCGGCAAGACAATGTTGATGTTATTAATCCACAACTCATATCTTGTACTATGTCTTTGACAAACCCATGTATCACCAATGAGGCTTCAAGCCCATAGGCTCTTATCATGAATCCAATCCTTTACTGATAATCACGAGTAAGGGAAATAAACCCTAACTCAAGTAGTGATTGTAAGCACAATTAGATGGTAAGGACTTCCACGTTTAAGCCTTTGAGTGAGGTTAAATGGAACACCTTGTACCTCATTTTAAGAACCATTTAAAAATCCTCTTCTGACCAGAAGTTATAAATTTCTGAAATCCGCCGTAACAAACAGAATTTATAGACTTTTAAATCACATTGTTCCGAACCGAGCGAAACACTTGGTTTTCTTTACCATTCAAGGCGAATTGAAACACATAGGGACTTGGCATAATGAGAATTCGACTACTCACGGATAAGTAGCCTGGAAAACAGTGTGTACGCATCGACTGACGAAATAAACGTTTGTTGTAATCCGGCGAGACTTGAAAGAAATACCTTGATCCCAAAACCATAGAACCAATTATATGTATGCATATGATGATGAAATATAAGTCAAATAAGATGAAATAAAAAGGGCAAATTTTGGAATACAATAATATTATACATTTTAAATCAATGCATATAATTTTTAAAAGACACAATTTATCGTATGTTTGTCTTCTATTTATGTATAAATTTTATATGAGTAGATATATGAATATAACGACTTTTTGATAAAATTTTAGCCTAAATCATATAAAAAAAATTAGGTTTAGCTGATAAAAAAAGTCCAATTATGAAAGTAAATTTTTGGAACTAATATTTAGAGTTGAATTAGTTATTATTAGAAATTTGCTTGGAAAAATAATTTATTTATAATTTATAACTTGTGAGGACTTATCAAAATAAATATTTAGAATAAGTTCATAGGGATTAAGAATTTATTTTAAAAAAATATTATTCATACATTTAAAACATACACTACACCGTATTTATTGTTCATGACTAATACAATGAACAATGTTTTATTGAAAAAATATTTATTTTTTATAATTTTATTTTAGATTAAAGATTATCGATATAAAAATATTATAATTAATCAACTTTATCATTTCATTAATTAATATTTTATAGTTTTAACACACTTTGTTTTATTATTAAAACTTATTTTTAATATCAAATGATTTATTAACTAACTTCATCGTTACATTAATCAACATTTTACGTTTTATTAATCAATATTTTATATTTTATTAATCAATTTTATTTTATTACTATAACTTACTTTAATATTTAGACGTTTATTAATCAACGACTTTATTTTATTAATTAATATTATATATTTTATTAATTAACTTTTTTTTATTATTAAAAATTATTTTTAATATTTAAATATTTATTAACCAAATTATATATTATATTAATCAACTTTTTATATTTAATTAACCAATTTTATCTTAGTTCATATTACTATTTACAAATACTATTTATATTTACTGTTCACGCAGTATTTACTATTTATGTCGTTGTTACGGTATTTGTGACCAGTGACTAGGGTGTAAAAGAATAAGTTTATGCTTAAATAAGTGAATAGCATAGCTGATTATCTTAATAAAGCATTTGAGATAATATCATAAGATTAAGGTATTGACTAAGTTTATGCTTAAATAATTATAGTTGACTGGCGGCTCAACAACTAGCCTTAATTCCCATTTATTACTCTCTCTCTCAATCAAATCTGACGTTTGAACTAATTTATAATAAAAGTCAACAAACTCCTCCTTTTAAAAAATCACCTATTTTAAAATTAAAAAAAAAAATACTAAAACCAGAAGTTTCATTCATTTTATTTAGACCTGTTCAACTTCATTCAAACCCAAAGAAATGCATCCTCCGGCGCCGGTGAACTCCACCGGTGAAACTCCCGGAAACACTATCGATCCTTCACTCATCAGAACTTATCGTGCTTGGAAAGGCAATAACGTAAGTTAACTTTAATCGATTTCAATTTTCAATCTCATTTGTATTGTTTCAATTTAATTCAGCGCTTTACTGCAAAAAATTTCAGGTATTTTTTCTTGGAGGAAGGTTAATATTTGGACCCGATGTGAAATCTATAATTACAACACTGTTTCTCGTCGTTGCTCCTGTTGCTGTTTTCTGTGCTTTTGTAGCAAGAAAATTGATGAATGATTTTCCTCATCACTATGGATATTCAATATTGATTCTAGTTATTCTTCACACAATCTTTGTAAGTAGTTAATTTTTATTTTTGCTGATTTTTTTTTTTGTTTTTTAATTAAATATATGCTGAAAAATTAAACTTTTTTAGTATTAATTAATTGTTTATGGTTGCTAATTAATGTTTTATTTATACTAGACCGTGATTATAAATGAGTTGTTATTTAATACTAGCTCCTTTCAATGAATCTAAAAAGTGACTTGTCTCTTATAAAAAGTAGCGTAGTATATCACTTATTCTTTCTCATTTATCTTGAGATATAAGAAAATAGGTTGCAGCACAATGTTTAATGTTCGCCGCTTAATTCCTAAACTTGTAACCATATTGCCAGGTTCTGATTGCGCTTGTACTGACCTCAGGAAGAGATCCGGGCATAGTGCCTCGTAATTCTTATCCTCCAGTGCCGGAAGATTATGATGGAAGTGTTAGTATCAACAGTGTCGGTGAGCCTAATCTACCGGCGCATTTACCACGATTCAAGGAAGTGATTATCAATGGAACAACTGTTAAAGTGAAATATTGTGATACTTGTATGCTGTATAGACCTCCGCGATGTTCTCATTGTTCGGTATGTGATAATTGTGTGGAGCGGTTTGATCATCATTGCCCGTGGGTGGGTCAGTGTATTGGACTGGTAATGGCCTTTAACTAGTTCAAATAGTATCAGTATTTTGTTATCTGTGTTATGTTTTAAACCTTCTTGCACAAGCAACTTTAGTAGAATTTTCTGCTTATTTTTCCCTTTTTTTCTGTTATGTACATGGCGACAGAGAAATTATCGATTCTACTACATGTTTGTTTTCTCTGCAACGCTTCTTTGCTTATATGTTCATGGATTTTGCTGGGTCTACATCAAGAGGATCCAGGACTCAGAGGACATATCAATTTGGAAAGCAATGATCAAAACCCCTGCTTCCATTGCGCTAATAATATACTCTTTCATTGCTGTCTGGTTCGTTGGAGGGCTCACTGTTTTTCATGCATATCTAATCAGCACAAACCAGGTCGGAACACTATTTAACTCATAATCTCTTGACCTTAAATGTGACTTTTTAGCTATTTCATCTGTTAAACACTAATGTTCTTTTCTAGTTTGTTTTATTACATCTGTTGATGTTAGTTCCTTTTGTTTAATGTGCAGTCTACTTATGAGAATTTTAGATACCGGTATGATCGACAAGTCAACCCTTACAACAAAGGTGTAATTGAGAACTTCAAAGAAGTCTTCTTCTCTTCCATTCCACCATCCAAAAACAATTTCAGGTCTAAAGTTCCAGTTCCTAAAGAACTGTCGGAATCATCAAGAAGAAATGGTGTTGATACCGTTATGATTCCAGCTTACAATGAGGTTGATGATATGGAAAAACATTACAAAGATGAGGAATATGGAAAGGGTGGTGATTTAAGTGAAACATCTGTGGATTTAAGCAGGATGCTTCACACCGAAAGAGGGCAGAGAGAAGTTGCTTCCTTTCTAAAGCACTCGTTGTGGGAACGAAGTAGCAAAAAGTGGGAAGTAAATCCTGAAATTCTCGACGATATACACGATACGGAATCAAATCGGATCACTGGTGATAGTAGTAATGAGACTGGTGACAACTCAGCAAAAACATCTACACTTGCAGAAAAACTCAGAGAAGAAAATTAAAATTACAAAAAGGAAAAGGGGTGGGGGACAGAGTTAGTTAGGCTGGGATTTGATAGGGAGGAAGGGCTTGTGCTTCATTGTGTTGGTTAAAAAAATGTCATTGGATCTTGTTCATTGATTGCGGCTTATTTTTTCTTTTGAGTTGTTCTGTGGTTATACATATAATTCTTTTAAATATGGTACTTGTGTAAAGAAGAAGACGATTAATAGAAACTGTGAAAAGTTATCCTTCCAATATGTTCATATACTTTTGATGACGAATAGAAATTGTAGAAAGTGATTTTTCCAATATGTTTAGTTACTTCTTTTTTTTTCCTTCATTTATTTTGTTTTTGTTCTTATATTGCTTTGAGAATGTTACTGCAGGTAACATTTGATGTCAGCATTGTTTGTAAGTTTGTTGTATGTTTTGTTTTATTTATCTAAATTGTTATTACTGTTGGATGAGTTTGAATAAAGTGTACTTGTAAGAAATCTTTTATTCCTACTGTCATAAACTTCTTTAATGGAAGCCTTTTATTTATCTATATTGTAATTAATGTTGGATGATGCTTGTTACCAAGTTTTCATTTAAACAGTAAAATGTCTTATTTTGACATCCCCTAAGTTTTGTTATCTATCATTTTTGTATGACTTATTTTGGATTGGTACTGGTTTTGACAGATCTTGTGCGACAGTAAGAGGTTTTTGGCTGCTAAAAGCGTTGTACCTTTTGGTATTGTTGGCAAAAATTCTCACATTCGAAGTCTCTCTCTATAAAGGTCCTAGTATTATTTTTATGAATTTTTCTACTTCATTTAGATAACATTAATGGAAACCAGATTTATTGTTTTGCCTTCAAATCAATGTAAGCTCATTTTTCTCCTGATCTCATCAAATTTGACTTTTATAGTGTATGTTATATTTGACTTGTAAGTAAATAGAGCATAGGTATTTTTCAGTAGTAACGGTGTAAATTTAATTATTCAGTCAAATAAAAGTTTTTGTACTCTACATTGTCTGAGATGCTAATTCTTTTACAATTAATCAAAGGGGTGGAATATTGTGCACTTGAAAGAAGAAAAAAAAACACAATAATATTCTAACACTAGCTTCAGAATAATACTTATGTTTTATGCTTGTACCTATTCAACTTTGGTGAGTTTCTTTATTAATATGTATCTTCTGTCTTTTGGGACAAATTTAAATGGTGTTTTTAAACACAAAAGTACTTCTATTTTATGAAAAATATGAAAAGGCTTTACGTAGTGGACTAAAACTCAAATCTTAAAAGAATAATTATTATTTGTGAGGACGAAAAGTTATACCCATTAGTTCAGAATACAGAGTTGTATGCACCAAGCTTTGTGGCAAAACAACCAAGGCATTCATTAGTTGCAGAATCAAAAATACCACCACAGAATGCAGGGCCAAGATTATTAAGAGAGGAGCCGGTGTATTACATTTGATCCAAAGAGAATTAGGAGGGCACCATATCACTTCCTTGATTTGAGGAGTCTTAGGATGATAGAGTTTGAACCTTGAAAGCCTTGAGAATTGTAAAATCTAGCATGGAAGGGTCAGTAGCAAGTTTGGTTAAATTGTCTGTCAAGGAGACTGAGGCAATAATGCTTGTGATAGCAAAGTTTATAGAGCTTGTCATATTTTTGAACCTTAATCCATTTGGCATTGTCATATGGTCTTGAGAGTGGTAATTGTCGGAAAAATTAGGGTTTTCAAGAAATATGGGAGAAGAAGAAGAGAAAAAAGAGAATTAGAATGACAGAAAATTATATTTGAAAAGCTGTGAAATTGTTATTGTTGTTAAGTGTATAAAACCATACAACGTCATGTCTATTTATAGACAATCAAGGCTCAAGCACAAAACATACAACTCAAACCCAAAACTAACAGTTATATTTTGGCTTCGACACGACAGTTATATGTTGTATTCGACTCTGTCGAATACAATTGACTCCTACTACTTTGACTAGGTCGAACACACCTATGTCAAATATGGACTTTCTACAAAACAATGAATTACAACTTCTAACACACCACCTAATTCATATTTTTGAGACTTCTCATCCCAATGCTATTCTTCAACTCATCGAACCTGACTTTCTTCAGGGGTTTGGTGAGTATATCAGCTAGTTGTCATTATGTCTTGCAATACTCAAGTTCAAGCTTCCCTTTATTTACTTGATTCCTAAGGAAATGATACCTCCTCTCGATGTGTTTACTTCGACCATGACACATACGATGATTGGCTAGGTCGATCGCTGACTTGTTATTTACAAACAACTTCATTATCTTAGGTTACATGATCTTGAGCTCTTCTAGCAGCATCTCTATTCATACTGCTTGACATGCTGCATACGATGCAGCCACGTACTCAGCTTCACATGATGACGAAGCTACAATGCTTTGCTTCCTTGAGCTTCAAGAGATTGGAACACCTTCGATCATAAATATGTAGCCTGCAATACTCTTCTTCTCGTCTTGATCTCCACTGAAATCTAAATCAGTGTAGTCATATACCTCTGCATTTGTGTTGGACTTCTTTTGTTTTGGCATCAGCAAATCATGATCAACCGTATCCTTTATGTATCTTAGCACCCTCTTTACTGCAATGAGATGACATTCTTAGGGGTTCTCTATGAATCTGCTTAACAATCCGACACTTTGACAAATGTATGGCCTGTTGTTGCAAAGATACCTCAAGGATCCAATGATTTGTTTATAGAGTGTTGCACTTACAAACTCATCATTTGTAACCTTCTTCAACTTTGCTCCAGTTTCCAATGACATTGTAGTTGTATTACAGTTGCTCATCTTTTCAAGGTGTCTTGGGCATTATTCTTCTAGTATAAAACCACTCCTTCACCTGTTTCTTTGAACTCTATCCCTAAGAAATATGGCAATTTTCCTAAATCAGACATTTCAAACTCTTACATCAATTTCGACGTGATTCTTCTTATCTCTGCTTCATCAGCAGCACCTGTAATCAACTTCGACTTTGGATGATCAATAGAAATTGTAGAAAGTGATTCTTCCAATATACTTAGTTACTTGTTTATTTTCCTTCATTCTTTTGTTTCTGTTCTTATATTGCTTTGAGAATGTCACTGCTGGTAACTTTTGATGTCCCCATTGTTTGTAAGTTTGTTGTGTATATTATGTTTTGTTTATAGTCGCAATGAAGGTTTGAATTGACTTTTTGGAAGCTTTGAACTTTGATGCTTTATTGATAACTTGTCAAGGAGAGTTGTGTCTTGTTTTATTGGTGCCGTACATATGTTTACTTTCTCTGATTCACATGTAATAACATTATTATGTAAATTCCATAGATTTTCTTTTTTCCAAGGCAACTCCATAAATTTTCAATGAGGTGAATGTTTGAATATGCAAGTGCATTGGGTTGGTAGTTCCCTATTCTACGTGCTTTGAAATTACTGTGAGTTTGATGAAATTATAGTAAGACAGTAATTTTGTTGAGATTTTAAAGTATAGCCGTTGTCTAAATAACATTGAATTATACTAATAGTTACTACTATAATTAGCTATAATTTTATTTAGCAGTGTTGTTTGGGTTTGTTGGTTGCTAGTTGGATGGCTGATTAAGTACATAGTTTAAGTGGATAGATCAAATGACACTAAATTATATTTATATTTAAGGAATTGCAAAATAGTTTGATATTCTAATTTTCATATAAAATAACTGATCATAATTTTTATTAATAAAATGTTATTCATTTATTTTCTTTTATTGTCTCTCTTCCATTAAAAACAAAAGCTCATTTATCGATCATAGAAAAATCTTGCTTTTTATTAAAATACAAAATTATCATTTTTTTAAGTGAAATAATTAAAAGAAATTTCACATTAAAATCTCATTAACTTATAGATTAACTTATAGGAAACTACTCGAAACATAATTAAAAAATATATATAAAACATACTTAGAATATAAAAAGTTTAATAGATATAGTATTAGGGTAAAATAATTTTACACATAGTAAAGGTGAATGATATTAAATATTAGTGATTTTTTTAATGTGAATATTAGTGATATACGTGTTTTCTTAAATATAAAAATATATGAAGTTTAATAATAATTTTTTAAAATTAGGCACTAATAATGGCATTATGGCATGCCGTTTTTGTCTCCTTACTCAACGTTTGACCTCCATATTGCACACACTAAATTAAAAGCAACCAATTGTTTAGATAATGCCTAGATTCATGTCCGAATTTCTCAAGGCACTACAGAACCCGCCAATTGCTATGCAATCAAATACTAGCAAATCTTGACAGAAGATAGAAATGCCATTATCCAGATTCTTGAAATGGATTATAGACTTCATGCAATCCCTCTTTCAAACTTCTCTTTCTTCCCCGCCTCCTTCTCCGCCTATGGAACTCTGCAATGACATTCTCTTCGAAATTTTTCTACGCCTCCCTCCTGAAGTACTTCCACGCCTCAGCATCCTTAATAAAGGATCCTATGACATGATTAACAGCCCACTATTCCAAACAACTTATTGGAGGCAGAAGATTCAACTACCTCGCCTTTATGCTAGGGTGTATTACCAACATAAGTTGACCAATCAGATAGGCTTTTCTTAACAAACAAGGAACATGATCACAAATTCAACAAGAATGAATTCCATAAGTATACACAGGTTCCTCAAATTCGTTACCCTTCAAGTTACTACACTAGGATCCTTCAATGGACCGAGGCAATGCTTGAGTACAACCACATTGGACCAAATGTATCAAAATTCAGAAAACAAATGAGTGGCCAAAAAGACACGGATGCAATATGCCAACAGCACCTTCGAACAAATGAGTAGCCAAAAAGATACGGATGCAATATCCCAACAGCACCCTCAATCACACTTCACAATACTTGAATCTCAGGGTACAAACAACATTGTAGGTCAGGATAGCAAAGAAAGTTACTAGTGCATAGGTCGATAACTGTAACTTACCATTTAGAAGTTTAATTCAAGAGTATATGCAATTTACAGCATTCCGATTAAACTGCCAAAAGTTATTCAAACCAACAGAAAAGAGAAAAACACTATTTGCTAGGAATTTTAATTTGAAGTGGTAAACAAATGTTGTTTGAATTTGAAAGAAGTACACTGCCTCAGGCAAGATCCATGGCATGTTGACAATATGTCTGCACTAATATCATATTTTCCGCGCATGAATAAATTTTTGTTCTTTCATAACAGTTTAAAACTGGAAATGGCTTATAATTCATCCATAATAGTAAAAACTAAATATTCTGACACGGGTCTCAACCCAATATAAAAAGAAGAAAAAAAAACAACTTTCTAAATAGTGATAAGATTGATGATTATAAAAGGGAGAAATTTGAGACCCATTGATCTTCATTGCATACTCTGAAACCGCTTCATGATAAGCATGCTCATCTCCATGTAACGCTGTGCACAGTGTGTAAGGCAATTAGTTTCACTGTTACTGAACTTATTCCCAGGTGTACCTGTGATGCATTTGTCCCAGCATTCACTGGTCATCTTTGCCACCATTTCATTGATCATGGCTCTTTGTTGTTCTTCCTGCATTTGACATTAACCAATTTTCACAAGCCTTCAAAAAAAGTAATGAATAACCGTGGAACACTCCAGTTAAAAACTGGTTTGAGCCAAAAACCGGTTTCAAGACATATAATTGCTTAAAAACCGATTTTTAATTATAAACCGGTTCCAAACCAGATATGAACCAAATTGAAACTGGTTCAAGAAAATAACCATAAAATCGATAGCCTCGTAATGAAAAATGAAATCCAGAAAGCAAACACAAGCATATACAGTTGAACAATCAATCAGTAAAAGCAACCAAAGGTAACCATAAAAAAAGATGAAATCAAACTTACAGAGTAAAATCTCTGCATATCAGCTGAATTAAGGTCGGAAAGATCCATGGAGAGCGATTGACGGGAGAGGAATTCTTCAGAGAAATCTCGCAAAAACCCTAATGTGTAGCACAAGCGAAACAAAGTGAGTATAGAAAACCTAAAATAAGGAGAAAGAAAAAGTAACCTGCAAGAAAGCCCGTAAAGCAGGCCTCACTTTTAATGGGCCAAGTACGATAGATGAAACGGCCCAAATGATAACCTAAATTGAAGAAAAAAAATTAAAGAAAATATATTATTTAATTTTTTTTTTAACGAAATGTGAGAATAAACTTAAAAAAATATTGAAATTTTGAAATATTTTATGATTTCTTACCTCGATATGTAGGTTACAACAGCTAGTATTGAGAATCCATGTTAATTAAAGGAAAATAATCATTAAAAAATATGTTATCAAACATATAACTTTGAAGCTATTATAAAGAGTCTACGAAATACGAAAAACTCATTGAATACATTGAAATGTTAAAGTTATCAAGTAAAATATACACATTTGTTTCCCTCACACCAATTATGTTTACCTTGACAATTCATCTCAAATTCAAAAACTTACATATGCATCGAACCAATATAGGAACAATTCCACTAAACTTGCAATTATCAATAACCAAATCAACTAAGAAAAATTGAGTCAATATCAACTCTAATGTGAATGATATTCTCTCTCTAAGTCATGTGCAAATATAAGTGAAAGTGATAAAAATTAGTTCAATATCTATTTCGTTCTTAATAAGTTCAACATCAACATACATCCTCCCAAAGCACAAAAAATAGTAAATTCATCTGGAATCTCATATAAACACTTAGACTAAATGCAATATTGATAGATTCTTTGTTTCATTCACCTCCTCCTGTGGTGGTATTTTCAGGAATCACTCACCTGGTGTGTTATATTATTTTGCTCAAAACACATATGGGTCTTTGATTCACTTTTCACACTGAGTTATTAGGAGTTTTATGTGCAATAGATATTGTATATAGTAAGAATTAGAAGAACTTCTGAATTGAGACTGATTCATTATTGGTTTTCATGGTTTTCAAAAATGCTTATTTAACCTCTTGTTATCTTAGGAATAAATGGATTAATTGTTCCATTATTCTTAGGAATGTGAATTGCATTGTCACACATATATATCGAGAAGAAAATTGTTCTGCTGATAGCCTAATTAATATTGGCCTAAACTTGCAACTTTCATCATTTGATTTGATCTTACTCTTGTAGTCAGAGATGATTTCTTAAGAAACAAACTTGCCTTAACTAATTATATATTGATGAGTATCTCTATGTTACTTCTTTTCTTTAACTAAAATAAATAAATGCACGTGAAAAATTTTCTACATCATTAATGCGTGGTATCTACTCCCTCCGTTCCTTTTTAATTGACGTTTTAGCCAAAAACTCTCCAACCAAGATACATGAATTGCTATAATTTTTTTCCCATTCTACCCTCATTCTCTTTCCAAATAAAACTCATTAAATTATTTAATTCAAATAATTAATTCCATATTTTGGGGCACACAACTCTCTCTCTTCCGTAACTACTCCTAAATTTTTGGAATTAACCTTGCATGCTATAAGAATATGTACTGCTGTTTCATTAAATATTTACTTTTACTATAAAAATATTTATTGCTTATTGTTTCAATGAATGGCTAAAGGAAAACTTAAGTTTCCCACCGTAAAAATACTTATTCCCTCCAATTATTTTAATAAAAACGTAAGTTTACCACCATAAAATTAAAACCAATGATGAGGTTGAACCAATAATAAAAGGAGTAGTATATATAATATGGTTTCATATTATAAGTTCAAAATATTTACATCTCATCAAATATGGCTTTAGAGGAGGTTGAAGCAACTAATGACATTGATGAGTCCTATGAAGATAATTTACAAGAGGAGGTTGAAGGAAACAATGACATTGATATATTTTTTATTTCATGTGTGTTTGTTTTTTATGTGGTGGTTTCTATACTTAAATTCACAGTGATATTTCATGTGTGTTTATTTTTTATGTGGTTGTTTCTAGTAATTTTGTTATTTTTTTAAAAAAAATTATAGTGTATGTTGCAGAAAATTTTGAAGCACAATCTAGAGAAAGAAAGAAATTAAGAGTCTTAAGCAATGAAGAACGCATGTCTATTTATCATGAGCTACTACAAAAAAGCGTTGATGGACAATTACGTAAAGGAGCTACAAATGAGGTGGCTTCATCAAATTCGGTTCCTATAAGAACTGTTCAACGTATTTGGAAAAGAGCAAAAGAAAGTGAAACGCGTGATGTCTCTCATAGGAAGATAAAAAATTGTGGACGTAAGAGAATTTCAATTGATGAGAATCAAATTCTTGAACTTCCTTTAAGTCAAAACAAACATTCGATCTTTAGCTTTTGGGTTGAAAACCAATCCAACATCGATGTTCAGGCTTATAAAATCAGGGCTTATACGGCGTAATTCAAATGCCATAAAACCATTATTGAAAGAAGAAAACAAAATATCTAGGCTGGAATTTTGTTTATCAATGCTTGAAGGTACACCACATGATCCAATGTTTAAAAGCATGCACAATATTATTCATATTGATGAAAAATGGTTTTATATGACTAAAAAATCCGAGAAGTATTATTTGCTCCCAGATGAAGATGAGCCATATCGAACATGTAAGAGCAAAAATTTCATTGCCAAAGTTATGTTCTTAGTTGCTCAAACTCGGCCATGATTTGACGCAGGAGAAAATGAAACTTTTTCGGGTAAAATTGGTATTTTCCCGTTTGTTACCCATGAACCGGCTCAAAGGTCAAGTATTAACAGAGTTGCAGGAACAATGGTAACAAAAGCAATAACTTCGGTTAAGAGAGATGTGGTAAGATCATTCCTTATTGACAAAGTCCTACCGGCTATAAGAGAAAAATGGCCAAGAGATGACTTGAAGTCAACAATATTTATTCAGCAGGATAACGCAAGGACACATATAAACCATAATGATCCTTTGTTCTGTGAGGCTGCTACCAAGGATGGGTTTGATATTCGTTTAATGTGTCATCCTGCAAACTCTCCAGATTTAAATATCTTAGATCTTGGGTTTTTCTCGGCTATACAATCATTGCAATACAAGGAAGCACCAAAAACTATTGATCAACTTATCGATGTAGTGGTGAAGTCATTTGAAAATTTTTCTTCAATTATGTCCAATCGTATATTTGTATCATTGCAATTATGCATGGTAGAGATCATGAAAGTGACAGGTTTCAATAAATATAAAATTCCTCATATAAATAAGGAAAGGCTAGAAAGAATAGGACAACTACCAATTCAAATTAAGTGTGATTCAATATTAATACAAGAAGTCAAGAATTACTTAAACATGGAGTAACACTTATTGTAAGTGGGATGTAGTCACATTTGAGATTTTCAAATAGAGTTTTTTTTAAGTTTATGGATTGTACTCCTAAAATTTAGTTTATGGAGTAACAAATTTAGTTACAGTAACTTTTGCCATAAATATAGTTTATGGATGTAGTCACTTTTATCATATGTATTGTGCGTGAGAATTAAGTTTATATTTTCCTAAACTTTTGCCATGATTTTTTTTAATGTATCAATAAAAAAACAATAAGAATGAACTTAAGAAATGCATTCCTAAATTGTAGCAATAACAAGGAATTCTTCTCCATACTTATTTTATAAAAAAAATACCAATAATAAGGACTTCCTAAATAACAACTCCTACAACTTATGCACTTAAGTCAAATCTAAAATGAGATACTCCATACTTAGTCCACAAATATTTTTCAGTAAAATTTTGGAAAAAGTTTTTTTATCATCTTTTTTATCACAGGTCGAAACTCAGTATGGTAGGAAGATTCTTCTCCGTTTTTTTCTCCTTCTTCTTCGTCTTCTTCAGGAAATTTGTTCAAATCAAATTCATAATCTGCCTCTTCATTTAAATCAAAATCCAGTACAACTCTTGATAATACTTCTTCTTCTTCGTTGTCATCTTGTTCTTGAATCTTGTCAAAAGAGTCTTCCACGATTCCCCATTCTTCTTGCTCCAATGACTCTTCCACTCTTTCTTCTTTTTGAAGATCCATGGAGTCTTTTGTTGTTCCACCACAGCTCTTTTGTTTTGTACGGGATAATTTAAACAATGGTACTAATCCTTTTTATAGAATTATTAGTCTTCAATTGAAAATTTTGTTCCTTTGACAAAATTTAATGCTAAACATTTTTCTATGTAATATTGGAATATAATTTGAAGTGAGTGTGAAGTGAGTTATTACATATATTAAATTTCCATGGGAATAGGAATACGTATTAAGAAAGAGAATTTTATGGAAATGTGAAGTGAGTTATTACATATATTAAGAAAGGAAAATTTTATAAAATATAAAGTGGACTTATTTAAAAAATAAGGGTATAATTGATAAATTGTAACCTTAAAACATCAAAACGACACTTAAATAGAAACAAAAAAACTTCTAAAACGACACTTAAAAAGAAACGGAGGGAGTATCATATAAGAAAGGTTAGTACTTTACAAAAGACAAAATTGTCCTACTTTTTCCTCAGTGTGCCACGTGGCTAACCTCACCCATTCATCCTCTATTTTATTGAAATCCAATTGCATAATATTTGTTATCCAAATCTTTTCCATTCATATTCTTTCACATATTGTACGACAGTTACCAACATGAAGGCTAGGAGGGTTTCGCAAAATGCTTTCTATTCCATATTCTTTGGAAAATCACTCTCAATTCTCTTGCAAACAAAAAAAAGGGTTTAACGAATCAATCAGAATGGGGAAGGTGGTGGCGGCTATGACGGTTTCAGCGATTTTACAACGATATCAAGTATCACGGTGGTAGATTTATGAGTTTCAAACCTAAATCTTAAAATTCATCCTCCTTTTTTTTGAGGTTTTCAATCTGTAATTCCTTTTGTTGTTTCAACCTTTTGAAACGATAGATAGATTCCTCTAATTCTTTGTTTGATAATTTTTTAGAGTTAAC